CTTTCTCTGTTATAACAATTGTATTGGCAGTAATCATTAGTTTTTACAAAGTTATATTTTATGTAAACAATGCACATATATGCAATAAATGATTATTAGATATGGATTATATATTTGCTATGGCCCTCGTTTGTGCATCACTTAAAAGTAATTTTATCAGACCTAAATGTATTAACGTGTGTTTGCTGATGAGAGAGAAACATCCATTTATCTATAATAATAACTGGAACATCCATTTATCTATAATAATAACTGGAACATCCATTTATCTATAATAATAACTGACACATCCATTTATCTATAATAATAACTGGAAAATCCATGGATCTATAATAACTGACACATCCATGGATCTATAATAATAACTGACACATCCATGGATCTATAATAATAACTGACACATCCATGGATCTATAATAATAACTGACACATCCATGGATCTATAATAATAACTGACACATCCATGGATCTATAATAATAACTGACACATCCATGGAAACATTAACAGACATCTGTAAAATGGAGTTGAACACAGATGTTTGACACTGCTCTTATTCACTTTTATATCTCTCTAAAAGCTAACAGACCGTTACTAATCACATTTGAGTTTAATGTATTCAATTATAAGTATAAGTATAAGTACTGCTGACAAATATGTAGTTGTGTAAATAATACCTCACTTTGATGACTCTTTACATTTCACACAAACAACAAAATCATAATAAAACCAACAAGTTTGATTTTAGTTTTCTTTATTTCCAGGTTCCTCTGAAGTGCTGTCGATGAGACCTGTGTCAGAGGCAGACGCCCAGGACTCTGCTGCTGCTCCTGCTGCTGTTGCTCCTGCTGCTGCTGCTGCTGTTACTCCTGCTGCTGCTGCTGCTGCTGCTGCTGCTGCTGCTGCTGTTACTCCTCCTGTTGCTCCTTCTGCTGCTGCTGTTACTCCTCCTGTTGCTCCCTCTGCTGCTGCTGTTACTCCTCCTGTTGCTCCTTCTGCTGCAGCTGTTACTCCTCCTGTTGCTCCTTCTGCTGCAGCTGTTACTCCTCCTGTTGCTCCTTCTGCTGCAGCTGTTACTCCTCCTGTTGCTCCCTCTGCTGCAGCTGTTACTCCTCCTGTTGCTCCTTCTGCTGCTGCTGTTACTCCTCCTGTTGCTCCTTCTGCTGCTGCTGTTACTCCTCCTGTTGCTCCCTCTGCTGCAGCTGTTACTCCTCCTGTTGCTCCTTCTGCTGCTGCTGTTACTCCTCCTGTTGCTCCTTCTGCTGCAGCTGTTACTCCTCCTGTTGCTCCTTCTGCTGCTGCTGTTTACTCCTGTTGCTCCTTCTGCTGCTGCTGTTACTCCTCCTGTTGCTCCTTCTGCTGCAGCTGTTTACTCCTCCTGTTGCTCCTTCTGCTGCAGCTGTTACTCCTCCTGTTGCTCCCTCTGCTGCAGCTGTTACTCCTCCTGTTGCTCCTTCTGCTGCAGCTGTTACTCCTCCTGTTGCTCCTTCTGCTGCAGCTGTTACTCCTCCTGTTACTCCTCCTGTTGCTCCTTCTGCTGCTGCTCCTTCTGCTACATGTCTTGATGCAGAGCCCACTGTTCTAACTATTCATGATTGCTGATTAAAGGAAAATATTATATACAAGTTTGTTGTAGTTCATAATGTGGTGATGAGGTGATGGAGGTGAAGCAGGAGGTGATGGAGGTGAAGCTGGAGAAATTATGACCTTAATTTCACCACAAGTCTCTGAAAAAGAAGAACACAAACATCATGCATTAAAACACAGCCCACATTTAGGATTCTTTTTACACTTCATATTCAATTAATACTATTTATTTGGGGCTTTGCAAAAAACTGGTTAAAAATAAAATACAGAAATCCTTACAGTATTTAATATTAGAGATACAAGTTTCACAGCAGGGGAAACAGAAGAATGATATGATAGAAATATACACAAATAATCAAGTTATGAGCATGGCTAACCACTTTAAACCTGTGTTTGTGGAAGTGGGACCATGTCCTCTGCAAATGTCTTATTAATGACAAACGAAACCTCTGTATAATGTGTGTTTACTATTTATTAGACTATTGTATGAAAAGGGCTTTATAATTATTCTTGGCCTATTCTATAATTTCATATGTCTAATATATACAGTTTTCCCAGTCTCAGTATGGGATTAAAAACGATATGCACAATCTATTTTATATGAATACAGAAAACATGTGTTAGCATACTATAGCTGCTGTGCTGCAGAGTGATTTTCCATGAAAACGTGACTTTCCTCAGTGTAGCTTTAATATTTAATCAGTGGGTTTGTTTCTCCCTAAAAGATAAAACACAACATGATTTTTCTTGTTCAAAAACCGAATCTGAATGAACTAGCCTCGTAGCATTAGCTTTTCGGGACTGAGCTTATTCACAGCAGATAACAAGGTTAAATACACACATCTGTGGCAGATCTAATTTATGTCTGTGTTTTATCATAACAGTCGTGTTCATAACTCAACAGTAAAGTATAGCAGTACTTACTATAGACATAACTTCACAGTAAAGTATAGCAGTGCTTACCATAATGTTAGCTCCAGCAGCTCCGAGCTGTTGTTTACATGTTAATGCCGAACGGAGTTCTGCGCATGCGCGGCCGTGACTTGGCAAAAAGAAGGCAGCGAAGCATACATCAGATGCATCCTTCATATCTGCTCCAAAAGTGGCCGTTTCCATAGAGACGAAGTCATGATGCCTACGCTTGGCGAGCTCGCCAAGTGGTTTTGGACACCCCTGCAATAGCCGTCGCTTGAGGAAGTGACGTCACGATGCCTACATATCCACCCTACGCGGCCTGATGCCTAGCGTTTTGGACACAGCCAATGTTACACTTTTAATGGTTAAATTTCCATCTGTAAAATAAGATTGATTCAATGTTACACTTTTAATGGTTAAATTTCCATCTGTAAAATAAGGTTGATTCAATGTTACACTTTTAATGGTTAAATTTCCATCTGTAAAATAAGGTTGATTCAATGTTACACTTTTAATGGTTAAATTTCCATCTGTAAAATAAGGTTGATTCAATGTTACACTTTTAATGGTTAAATTTCCATCTGTAAAATAAGGTTGATTCAATGTTACACTTTTAATGGTTAAATTTCCATCTGTAAAATAAGGTTGATTCAATGTTACACTTTTAATGGTTAAATTTCCATCTGTAAAATAAGGTTGATTCAATTGTTACACTTTTAATGGTTAAATTTCCATCTGTAAAATAAGGTTGATTCAATGTTACACTTTTAATGGTTAAATTTCCATCTGTAAAATAAGGTTGATTCAATGTTACACTTTTAATGGTTAAATTTCCATCTGTAAAATAAGGTTGATTCAATGTTACACTTTTAATGGTTACATTTCCATCTGTAAAATAAGGTTTATTCAATGTTACACTTTCAATGGTTGAACTTATGTCCATAAAATAGTGTTGATTCAACATTCTTTTTTTAATTATTGATTTATTATCTGTAATAAAACATTGAATCAACATTTTTTTTTCAACCTCAACCAAAAGTCAACCATCTGACCCTAAATCAATGTTGAAACGATGTCCTTTTGCTATCTGGGTAGTTAGAACAAATAAAAAACACAAACCTCCACAAGAGTAAATAAAGACAAAGTAAATAAACTAAAATAAAAAGTCCTTGTGCAGATGAAGACTATAATGATGTATGACACATGTGTCGTGTGACATCACATGTGTCAATCAGAAGAATGTGATGGTGTGATATATTCACTTCTTCACTCGTCGACATCTACTGTCATTATCTGAACACTTCACATTCTTCCAACTGCATCTTTTTCTTTCATTTCCTCTTATTTATGGATTTATTTATTTTTAGTCCTTTCCATTGTTTTCCTAAGACGCTCCTTTCTCTCGAGTCGTGTTGTTATTATTAATATTATATAAATATATTATTATTGTTCATTATAAATGATCCAAAATGCCCCATTTCTCCCTAAACTCGTCTCCTTCATTATTCTTCTTCTTTGTGGATCCATTTCCTGGACTTGTTGAAGTGCTTCCAGTTTGTGGTTTTGGGGATTGGTTTTTCTCCAGTTTGTGGTCATTAGTTTGAGAGCAGTGAGTGCCATGATCCAGAAGAGCTTTTCCTCTCTTCATTCTATGACTTCATGTTCCCAGTAATAATGTTTCTCCTCAAAGAAGTGGATCTTTCCTTCTCCTTGCTTCATGTTTGTGTTGCCTTCAGTCCAATGGTCTTGGATGTTTGTACATGTGTAAAAACATGTGTTCAGCTTTAGACATTTACAGTCACTTTACTGCACTGCTACATGTCTCTGTCCTTAGTGCACGTGGAGATAGTCCTCATTTTAACACATTTATCAACATTCTTTTATGTCTGCACCTTTTTACTCTTACCACGTGTTTGCACCATGAGCCGAAGCAGATTCCTGGTTGTGTCTTTGTGTTTTTAATGCAGTAAATGAATAAAGTCTTGAATGTGTAAAACTGGACATACATGAGTTCAGAGCTCCCTTGGTCGCCGTGGAAACTGCAGACTGCTGTTTAAAGCTGGGGTACCTGACTTTAGAACCACACACATTGAACTTTGTGACAAAATCCATCCAACAAGTTCCATTTATTAATGTTTTATTATTTTTTTGATCATAAATGACAATGGTTACACACACACCCCCATGGTCTAGGTCTTGATGGTATCTCATGACATATAATTAGATGATTATATAAGAAGCCGCAGTAAACACACAGTATTATGTACACACAATAAAAGACACTAAATACAGATAATATAGAAACAGATAATATTGTTTTCACATCTGTGTATGATCCGTGTGTGAATGTGCCATACAAGTGTCGTTGATAAATGAGACAGATTCCATCCACAGCTTTTTCATTCTGAGCCCGAACAGAGAGAAATAAAACCACAGGATCAAAGCTGAACAGAAGGAGGCGTTTACACCCAGAGCATCATGGGAAATATTTACACTTCACTCATTTCTCCTGCTCCCTCTCCTCCTCTCTCCTCTCCTGGTCAGTCTCCTCCTCTCTCCTCTCCTGGTCCGTCTCCTCCTCTCTCCTCTCCTGGTCCGTCTCCTCGTCTCTCCTCTCCTGGTCCGTCTCTTCCTCTCTCCTCTCCTGGTCCGTCTCCTCCTCTCTCCTCTCCTGGTCCGTCTCCTCCTCTCTCCTCTTCTGGTCCGTCTCCTCCTCTCTCCTCGTCTGGTCCGTCTTCTCCTCTCTCCTCTTCTGGTCCGTCTCCTCCTCTCTCCTCTCCTCCTGGTCCGTCTCCTCCTCTCTCTCTTCTGGTCCGTCTCCTCCTCTCTCCTCTTCTGGTCCGTCTCCTCCTCTCTCCTCTTCTGGTCTGTCTCCTCCTCTCTCCTCTCCTGGTCCGTCTCCTCCTCTCTCCTCTGCTGGTCCGTCTCCTCCTCTCTCCTCTCCTCCTGGTCCGTCTCCTCCTCTCTCCTCTTCTGGTCCGTCTCCTCCTCTCTCCTCTTCTGGTCCGTCTCCTCCTCTCTCCTCTCCTGGTCCGTCTCCTCCTCTCTCCTCTTCTGTGATGACCTCATTCATCAGGATCATGGTCTCATGTGTCTCACTAGCGCCTCTTCTGGACTTAACCTGAAACAACAAGACATCCACAGGTCTTAACCAGGTCTGAACCAGGTCTGAAGCAGGTCTGAACCAGGTCTGAAGCAGGTCTGAAGCAGGTCTGAGCCAGGTCTGAACCAGGTCTGAACCAGTCGCTGTAGCAGAAGCAGTAGCAGTAGTAGCAGCACCTTGTATAAGCAGAAGTTGTTGCAGTAGCAGTAGCAGTAGTAACTTGAAGCGTCCCTTCTCAGGTCTGTCCTGTACATGTGTGTGTCTGGTGTACTGCAGAAGTCTGTCCTGTACATGTGTGTGTCTGGTGTACTGCAGAAGTCTGTCCTGTACATGTGTGTGTCTGGTGTACTGCAGAAGTCTGTCCTGTACATGTGTGTGTCTGGTGTACTGCAGAAGTCTGTCCTGTACATGTGTGTGTCTGGTGTACTGCAGAAGTCTGTCCTGTACATGTGTGTGACAAACAAAATGAAACAATGGATAAAACAAACAAAGAAGACGCAAATACACAAAAAAATCATTAATTGACCTGTTATCCACCTGGTATCCACCCGGTATCCACCTGGTATCCACCTGGTATCCACCTGGTATCCACCTGGTATCCACCTGTTATCCACCTGGTTATCCACCTGGTATCCACCTGGTATCCACCTGGTATCCACCCGGTATCCACCTGGTATCCACCTGGTATCCACCCGGTATCCACCTGGTATCCACCTGGTATCCACCTGGTATCCACCTGTTATCCACCTGTTATCCACCCGGTATCCACCCGGTATCCACCTGGTATCCACCTGGTATCCACCTGGTATCAACCCGGTATCCACCTGTTATCCACCCGGTATCCACCCGGTATCCACCTGGTATCCACCTGGTATCCACCTGGTATCCACCCGGTATCCACCTGGTATCCACCTGGTATCCACCTGGTAGATTTGACGAAGGAAAACTGGACCACCTTTTTTGACTTCCTGTGAGCGTGTTTCTTGACTACTGAGGTTTTTCGTTTGGTAAATAAACAGCTAAATCTCTATCAGCCTCCAGTGTTATTAGTTAGTAGTTTGGAAGATGGGCTCTCTGGCAAATAGAACTCACACTTTTAGATATTTATGAGATTGATTTTAAAACCCCGCTTGATTCTTTTAGTTGGGTCTTGAGACTTTTCTTTCCCTCTCTTCAGATAGGGTATCTCTATATTCGTCAAAATTAGACCATTCTTAGAACAAGCACACCCTTATAAAGGTAGATATAAGGGAATTTCCAATAAGGAATAGTTACTACCGTGCAGATATGTTAAGATATGTAGTGTATCCAAATACCTGTACATCTAAGACATATATGCATTTAGTTACCCTACACCACTATCACTCTGCTCTCTGTTTGCACTAACAAACACATTACAAATCCACGTATTGTACACCAAGCTAACTTATAAGCACTCCGAGTCAGCTGTACTGCAGCTGAGGTTTAGGTAGCGGTTGTTTGTCTGGTCTCAGAGTCTTTTGTACGGGCCCGGATCCGGACTAGCTTAGCCTAGCCTAGCCGCTAACTCGCTACTCCTATGGCAGCTGCTGTCTCTCCCTCAGTCCTTTACTGCTCGAGTTGCCATATGGCGAGTCTAAACCCTGGATCCTTCTCTGAGGGTAGTGATAGATGTGTGAAGTGTAGTGTAGTCGTAGCTCTGGAATCCAGAGTCAGTGAGTTACAGCTGCGTCTCCGAGCACTTGAGTCTCGAGCTAGCGCTAGCATTAGCTACAGCCAGGCCGTATCCTCAGGGACAGCGGAGCGCAGCTTTAGGGAAAGGCAGAGGAGAACTAGCGAGCCTAGCCTCCGAGCCCGTCCTCCGCAGCTGGGACAAGACCAGGATAGTGATGGCTTTGTGACTGTTCGGAGAGGGCGACGTGTTGTTGGTAGTTTCCCCATTGGGCCTCCTCCTGTTAGCATTTACAATCGCTGGGACGCTCTGTCCGGCTGAGCACAGGGACTGGACTCCTGTTAGTGCCCAGAGTCAGAACTAAACATGGGGAGGCTGCTTTTCAGATTCATGCTGCTAAAATCTGGAACAATCTTCCTGAAGATGTGAGACAGGCGTCCTCTCTGACAATGTTTAAAACCAGGTTAAAGACAGTTCTGTTCAGCTGTGCATACAACTGAGGAATTATATATTTTATATTTTTAGGCCCGAGCCCCAACTGGGGTAAGGGCCCATTGCTTTTCCAACGAGCTCGTTGTAACTGTCATAAGTCACAATCTCCGGGCACAGCGAAGGCACGTGCCCAAGCACTGATAAATCTGTGCCGGAGGCACTAATGGCTTTGCTCCTGCTGTAGTACACAGTGAAATGATTGAGGTCCTATTAAAAGGGGGGTTCTTTCAAATGTCTTACGGACGAATGTAAACTGAACGTGTAAATCATGGAAATGTAGCATCAGCGCCCCCTACAGAGTGATACAAGTGTTACATGGAGAGACTGGGATTTACCTTTTCAAAGACACACACAATCACTGATCATAGGAATTCAAAATGCACAGTGTCGCTCCCATCAGGGCGGTAGGAAAATGGTGCGACAGCGCCACCTCGGTTGTGTTGTGCGGCGAGGGCCGTTCAACGCCGCTCGCGGCTTTAATTAGGCCCGAGCCCCAACTGCGGTAAGGGCCTTTTGCTTTTCCAACAAGTAATGCCTGGGCAGTGCGGCTTGCGGCTTTAATTATCTTTCTTTTTAATGTTCTGTGATTATTTATGATTTTAATGCTTTCTTATTTTTGTTCAGCACTTTGAGTTGCCTTGTGTATGAATTGTGTTATACAAATAAACTTGCCTTGCCTTGCCTTGCCTTGTCTATATATATATATATATATATATATATATATATATACATATACATACAGTGCCTTGCGAAAGTATTCGGCCCCCTTGAACCTTTCAACATTTCGCCACATTTCAGGCTTCAAACATGAAGATATAAAATTCTTATTTTTTGTCATGAATCAACAACAAGTGGGACACAATCATGAAGTGGAACAAAATTTATTGGATAATTTAAACTTTTTAACAAATAAAAAACTGAAAAGTGGGGCGTGCAATATTATTCGGCCCCTTTACTTTCAGTGCAGCAAACTCACTCCAGAAGTTCAGTGAGGATCTTTGAATGATCCAATGTTGTCCTAAATGACTGATGATGATAAATAGAATGCACCTGTGTGTAATCAAGTCTCCGTATAAATGCACCTGCTCTTTGATAGTCTCAGGGTTCTGTTTAAAGCGCAGAGAGAACCATGAAGACAAAGGAACACACCAGGCAGGTCCGAGATACTGTTGTGGAGAAGTTTAAAGCCGGATTTGGATACAAAAAGATTTCCCAAGCTTTAAACATCTCAAGGAGCACTGTGCAAGCATCCATCCATCCATCTTCTTCCCCTTAATCCATTTCTGGGTCGGGGGGGTGGCAGTCAGAGCTGCACCCAGTACACAGAGCACCAGCCCCTCACTGATCCTCTGCAGGTGGTGAGTCCACAGGAGGACGGCTGCTCTGTCAGTGACAATACAGCCTTGATTTTTCAGCGGGGGCTTCAGGCAATGCAGGGTTAAGTGTCTTGCCCAAGGACACAACGACAGCAGTCATCAGTGGGAGTCGGTGGAGAAGGTCCCGTGGTGGGCTTGAACCCACGACCTTCAGGCTCAAAGGCCAGTGCTCTACCAACTGAGCTACTGTCGCCCTACTGGGTAGGTTCAAGGGGGCCGAATACTTTCGCAAGGCACTGTATATATATATATATATATATATATATATATATATATATATATATTTATATATTTTAAGTAGTAGTAGTACCTTGTAATAGCAGTAATAGCAGTAGTAGTAGTAGCAGTAGTAGTAATAGCAGTAGTAGTAGTAGCAGTAGCAGTAATAGCAGTAGTAGTAGTATTAATACCTTGTAGTAACAGTAGCACTGTGGCAGGGTGAACAGGAGGATTATCAGTAGAATAATCAGGAATCTGATGATCAGGTCAGACGTTAAAACTGCAAAAACAGAGAAAACAGGTTTGATCAAGTACAAGTACAAGTTCAAGTACAAGTACTTCAAAACAACCTGGATTCACAAAGAAAACATCACTTCACTAGTATCCCAGAGAACGATGAAACACAGATGTTTTATCCCAAAACAGTTCCTGAGTTTACTTTTAGTGGAAGCCAATAGGAGCCAGAGAGAGTTGGAGCAAAACTTCCTCTCTGAGCACTTCCCTATCGTGCTCATAGACTGTATATATTAACGGACAGAGTCACGCCTATCTCCGCTGTTCTAACCAATGGGCCAAAAATATTGCTCTACTGGAGCTATCCAAAATGGCCGCGAGTGGTCCCGCCCACAAGAAAATGGTGAAAAAACGCATCTGCGCATGCGTCAGCCGGCGCAACTCCATTCATTTGAACGAGAGACTTCAGAAATTCACAGCAAGTAAACTAGAGTGGACCAAAAAAATCACCCCCCTCAGCATTGACACACATGTGGAACGGAGCTTTGGGCCAAGAGACAACTTTTGGACCATCCTGTAAAGACGTTTTTGAGAGGTCTGCCAACGCTATATGTTAGCATTGGCTAATTCTTCTTCTGGGTCCACCCCCACAGGCCCGGGGTGGTACTGCAGCATGTCAGCGCACGTCATTTTGGCCACTTTTGCGCTGGGGCCCTCCCCCACTGATCGTGCTTCATTTAGCTAGCAGGTTAGCATTGTAATCATAATCACAGAGACATAGATCACCCAGTATGTGACATCACACACTCTGTCTCCAGTATGTGACATCACACACTCTGTCTCCAGTATGTGACATCATGTGACATCACACACTCTGTCTCCAGTATGTGACATCACACACTCTGTCTCCAGTATGTGACATCACACACTCTGTCTCCAGTATGTGACATCATGTGACATCACACACTCTGTCTCCAGTATGTGACGTCATGTGACATCACACACTCTGTCTCCAGTATGTGACATCATGTGACATCACACACTCTGTGTCCAGTATGTGACATCATGTGACATCACACACTCTGTCTCCAGTATGTGACATCACACACTCTGTCTCCAGTATGTGACATCATGTGACATCACACACTCTGTCTCCAGTATGTGACATCATGTGACATCACACACTCTGTCTGCAGCAAAAGTCAAAGAAAAGGAGAAAGCAGTTTCCTCTTTGTTTCATGAAGCTTGAGAACTTGAGCAGTAGTAGCAGTGCCAGATGTATTAGTAGTAATAGTAGTAGTACTAGTAGCAGCAGTAGCAGCAGCAGCAGAAGTAGCAGTAGCAGTTGTAGCAGCAGTATTAGCAGTAGTAGTGGTAGTAGTAGCAATAGCAGTAGTGGTAGTAGCAGCAGTAGCAGTAGCAGTAGTAGCCATAGCAGTAGCAGTAGCAGCAGTAGGAGCAGAAGTATCAGCAGAAGCAGCAGTAGCAGTAGCAGTATCAGTACCTCCCAGCCTCAGCTCCAGTCTCTCGCTCTCGGAGGTGAAGCTGTGGCCGAACACCTGTAGGTGGTAAACACAGGTGTAGTTTCCTTTGTGGGCGGGGCCAGTGTGATTGAACAGGAAGTGTGCAGAGTGATTGACAGCAGGCAGGGTGTGGTTCCCAGAGGGAGAGAGCAGCTGGAAGGAGCCTCCTGGGAACTGAGGCTTCACCGAGCACTGGACCGAGAACTGAGACCCCAACTGCACACGCACCACCTGCACCCCGACCTGGGAGACCTGGACCTGGGAGACCTGGACCTGGGAGTCCTGGACCTGGGAGACCTGGACCTGGGAGACCTGGACCTGGGAGATCTGGACCTGGGAGACCTGGACCTGGGAGTCCTGGACCTGGGAGACCTGGACCTGGGAGTCCTGGACCTGGGAGACCTGGACCTGGGAGTCCTGGACCTGGGAGACCTGGACCTGGGAGACCTGGACCTGGGAGTTCTGGACCTGGGAGACCTGGACCTGGGAGTCCTGGACCTGGGAGACCCCCACAGTCACAGAGAGGGACAGGACTGGACGGTTCAGTAAGTCTGCAGAGACAGAGACATCAGCTCCAGCAGAGATTTAAGTTAGACTTTGACCTTTACCTGAACACATCACCTCCACACCATACGGGTAGGAGAAAGTGTTGTCAAAAACACATTCTCTCACTTTAGTCTTCCTCCTCTTCATGCAGTCAGGTGAGATCACCCACGCAGGACTGTCTGGAAAACCACCTCTCAGACGTCCAGAAACAGCAGACCCACAGTCCAGGTCTCTGCACACAGCAGCGGAGTCCTCCTCGGTCCAGTCTTCTGTCTTCCTCACTCGTCTCCACTCTCCTCTGAGTCTGACCTCCACTGTCCCGGCACAGCGACTGGCCCCTCCCACCAGCCTGAGCGGCTCTGAGCAACACAACAACTCTTAGGACACACAAACATCACACACACATTTGAGAAAACTGGATTGGACACAGATACCAAGAACAGACGCACAAGTGGGACACACAAAAATGACCACATTTGTTTTTATTATAGAGCAACGGACAAAACACTTATTTACACTTTATTTTAACACACACACACACACACACATACACAAACACATGAAGACACACACAAACAAACACATACACACTCAAACACGTACACACTCAGAGACATACACACACACACACACACAGACATACACACACACACACACAGATATACACACAGATATACACAAACACGCACACACACCTACACAAACTGACTCACACAGACACACACACACGCACAGATACACACATAAACAAACACGGGCCCACACAAAAATAAGCACACAAACACGCAAACACACACTGACACACAGGCACACACATTTAAACACACAGGCACACACACACACACAAATGCACACACACACAAACTGACGCACACACATACACACAGACACACACACTCTGGTCTCTGTACAGTGAGGTCAGTCCTGTCTGTCCTCGTCTGCTGCTCACTGAGACACACTGTCACATCCAATGAAACATGTGTTTGTCTGTGTGTGTGTGTGTGTGTGTGTGTGTGTGTGTGTGTGTGTGTGTGTGTGTGTGTGTGTGTGTGTGTGTGTGTGTGTGTGTGTGTGTGTGTGTCAGAATCAGAATCATTTTTATTGCCACGTAAGTAACAGGAGGTCACAGACTTGGAAATTGCTTTGGCTCAGTGCAACAGTCAGAAAGAGATAATAAAAATAAGAATAAAAAACACTTCTAAAGAATAAATTTAAATTTAAAATAGAGTTACAGTTACTATTTACAATATACAAGTGCACATGGTGCACACAATGTAAGGTGACAGCAGTACAGTGAAGTAAAGTGACGTATGATGGGCAGTAAAGTGACTTTATAAAGGGCGGGGGGACAGGTTAAGAAGTGTTCAAGAGTCCAACAGCAGAGGGGAAGAAACTGTTCTTGTGGCGGGAGGTTCTAGTCCTGATGGACCGCAGTCTCCTGCCTGAGGGGAGTGGTTGGAATAGTCCATGTGCAGGTGAGAGGGGTCGGCTGTGATACGACCAGCCCGGCCTCGAGCTCGGGCGACGTACAGGTCCTGCAGTGTGTGTGTGTGTGTGTGTGTGTGTGTGTGAGGGGCTGTGAGGGTACAGACTGGTTGCCTCGCTTCTGTCAGTGTGCCCCAGGGCAGCTGTGGCTACAGTAATAGTAATAATAACATGTGAAGCATCTTTGAGTGTCCTGAAAAGTACTGTTTATAAAACTGATGCATTATTATTATTATTATCATCATTATTATTATTATTATTATTATTATTATTATTATTAGCTCAAACACAAGAAAAGCAGTGATAAAACACATGGAGCCGTTGGTCCATAAGGAGCAGAGACCGATGTCCATAAAAGTTGATAAATGTCATAGATCCTTCTCTGTTTCACTGGATCTTACTTTTATGGAGATGATTAAAAAAGACATGTTGAAAATGGACAGCCTTGTTTTGCTCCATTGTTCTGGTCCCAGTGTCACAGATGTGGTTATTATGGATTCTTTTACATCTGTGTCAGTATAAAGTATGTTACAGTTCATTAAGGAGGAGCCAACATCAAAGACATTCAATACTTCAACACACATTTAAAATAACTCTGATCACATTATTTTTATAAATCACATGAAAATGTAACAAATGATTTTCTTTTTCATAACATCAAAACAAATGTAATAATTGTCTGATATTATTTATATTATTATTTTATCTGCATTTTATGAAGATCATTGTGTCCAGCAGTCCAGCTTCAGCGCTGTACATATTGTGTGCATCGGTTACACAAAGACACGTACGCACACTAGAGAATAGTTCTGTAATAGTTCTGTGCGTGGTCTTGGATATGATCCCATTACGCAGCGCCGTTCACCGTGATCACAGCCGCTGGAAGAACTGCGGTCCAGAGCGCTGTGGCGCCCGCAGCTCATCATGCAGAGTTCATACAGGAAACAACAAGTGCCCCGCGGTCACGCGTGTATTCTTTTAAAACTTTAATTCCCAGAGGGCCTACCTGCTCTGTCCCCATCTTACACACCCATGTGTCCGCGGCATTCTGAGTGTTATTATGGGACGCATGGGCATGCGTCAAATGCGTTAATGTTTTAAACGCGATTAATGAAAAAAAGTAATTAACGTGCGTTAACGCGATAATTTGGACAGCCCTAATTTATACATATGTATACATACATGCATGTATATATAAATGTGTATATGTAAAACAGTCATTTATATTTACATATATATATTCATTTTGTATATTTAGATACAAATATGTTTGTTTATTCATATATTTATTAGGGCTGTCAAAATGATCGCGTTAACGCACGTTAATTAAATATTTTCATTGATCGTGTTAAAGAATGAACACATTTGAGGCATGTGCCGAAGGACCCTCCCGTGCATCCCATAATAACACTCACGTGCCGCGGACACGTGTGTGTGTGTGTGATGACTACAGAGCAGGGAGGCATTAGTTAGCATTAGCACAACAATCACAACAATCACTGATGAAATGGTACCAACGCAGCTAACAAAATATACAGAACAATAACTGAAAGATTACCTCTAGTTTTGTGTCCAAAGTTAGGCCGAGGCGGTCCCGCTGCCGCAGATGTCTCCAGAGGACACGATGTAAGCTAACGCTACGTATATTCACTCAGGCTTGACTTCTTCTTTGATCATTTTTTCACGTTAGTTCCCTCTTCTCTTCCTCACTGTTGTGTGGTTTGGGCTGTGTTGCTGTGTCTGCAGTTTGTTGTCAAAAAAGATTTGACTGACGTGTTCAAAGTTTGATGCAGAAAACAAGACGAAGATTTCCAAGTTAAACATCTGTATTTAATTTATCTTTACAATCAGATACAAAAATTCAAAAAGCTCCTATCCTAACTAATGCCTGCTCCTTTTCCTAAAATCTAACCCTGTGAGCCGAGCCATTCTAAACTATCCCTCCAGGCCTGAAAATGTGCAGAGAACATCCATGCGATGCTCTCTGTCTCTCTCCCTGCTCGGACTCCTTAACAAAATGGCTACTAACAGTTTTATCAGAATGTCCGATGACGTCATCTTTGTGCGTCTCCCGAATGTTCATTTCGGGTGTGCTGGCGTCCCGTGTCCACTGGGAGGCATCAGAACGCCGTTGGTGAATCCCCAGTCTGCCTTAAGAGAGATTAGCCAGACCATTTACAGAACAATATGATCATTTTACAGATAGTTCAAAATGTGATTAATTACGATTAATACATTTTTAATCTGTAATTAGCTCGATTTAAAATGAATCGTTTGGCAAACGTTTGGCAAACGATAGGGCTGTCAAACGACTAAAATGTTGAATCGAGTTAAAAAGTGCAGAATGTCATTAAATCTGTCATGAACTGGTAGTGGAAGAGAAAATTAGGTACCCCAGCAGCGCTGAAGCTGGACTACGGAGCCTCAGTCTCCTCCGTGTCTTCTCCTGAAGCGCACTCGCTAAATTAAAGCTGGGGTACCTGATTTTCTCTTCACTACCAGTTCATGACAGATTTAATGACATTCTGCATTTCAGACTGTTTTAAATGTCTCTCATCTGTAACAAACAATAGTTTGGTCTGAGTCTAAACAGAAAGAATGTTATTAATGTTGATGCCATTTATATTTATTGTTATAATAAACTAATACAGTGCACATGTACACTTTGCTGTCATTTATCTTTACATTCAAACAACCATTTAGATATAAATATGGCATCATTTTGCCGATATTTCAAAATGTGATTATTACAATTAATTAATTCCATCCATCCTTTTTCTTCCCCTTAATCCATTTCTGGGTCGGGGGGGTGGCAGTCAGAGCACCCGCCCCTCACTGATCCTCCTGCAGGGGGTGAGTCCACAGGAGCTCAGATCTTTCAGTGGGAGCTTCAGGCAAAGTGGGGTCAAGTGTCTTGCCCAAGGACACAATGACAGCAGTCATCAGTGGGAGTCATGAAGTAGGTCTTATGGTGGGCTTGAACCCACAACCTTCAGGCTCAAAGGCCAATGCTCTACCAACTGAGCCACTGTTGATTAATTCATTTTTAAGCTGTAATGAACTCGATTAAAGACTGTATTCGTTTGACAACCCTGATTTAAACACATTTGCATGCATTTGTTTGCAAATTAAATCTATTTATTTTAAATGAACATGAAAACTCATTGAACATTTATTTATATATTTGTTATTTAGTCAGTTTTGGTCCTTCATAGAGTCTGTGTCTGTGTCAGTGTTTATGACTGAGACTTTTAGCATTTATTCATATTTACATGTGTTTCATTGGATGTGACAGTGTGTCTTAGTGAGCAGCAGACGAGGACAGAGACACACACAGACACAGACACGTTTTTGTTACCTGGTGGGTCCCTTTGACGGGGCCGTTCAGAATGGAACCCATAGACATAATCTTTTTTTACTGGGACTACTTTAAGTAATACAAAACAGTCAATAGAAAACAAACAACTCTTTTAAAGGAATTTTATTTTAGATTTTTTTTTCGAATTGCAGTGATTCTATTTTTGACATAGAATTTAATGCCACTCCATGTCCGATGTCTAAGGTCATCTGGTGAGGCATTAATGCAGGCCAGGCAGTGAGACTTCCCAGGGACCTTTCCAGTCTGTATGAAAGGTGTCATGGTCTTCTCCACAGCCTTCACCTCAGATGCAGACCATGGCTTTCTTACACGTTCTAGGGAGAGAAATAAAAATATATTAGCAATATACACTCCCAGGGTTAGGACCAAGCAGCCTGGCTGTAATCCCCCACCTGGTACACTTACCAGAAGGGGCACTGCCACTACCATGGGGTGCATCTGGATGAATGGTTGAAGGTTCTCCGCTTGAAGTTTCTTTTAGCCCGTCCGTTTGTGAGAGGATCTCTACTGCTCTCCCTGTCGCACAGAAAATAAAAATACAAGTGGCCTTTAGGGGAAAAAAATTATACATATTTTAATAATATCAAGAATTCCCTTCAGGCTCAATTTGTATCTGGTTGAGGCTCTTTCCTTTGAATTCCGTCAGTCTTCCCTGCTCCATGGCCATTAACACTTTGCTGATTTTGGCCAGCTCCAGTGTCCCCTCTGGTAGTCTGTAATATTGCCTGTGGATGCGAATGTCATGGCCGAGGAAGTTGGCAAGTATGTCCATTTCATTCTCTTTCATATTGAGAACTGTAGACATAGTAGCTATGTGCTTTCTAAGTTTGGTTGAGGATAGCATCTCTGGATGCACCGCACCACATTCTTTGGCTACCTGGCGTAGGGAGTCTGATCCCCTGATGTGGGTGTCTGCGCCCGGGCGGGAGAAGAAGTATGGGTTATGGTCAGAGATGGAACAGGCCCTTCTGTTCTCCACCAGCACCTCCATCGAAGCAATCATTTCAGGAGTCAAAAGAACCGGCACTTTCCGACTTCTTTTCCCTTTCATTTCAATGCGTTGAAAATGCTGACACAGCTTTTTCTCAAGTTGGGACAGTCCCAGAGCAATGTCAGAATGGATCCCAGTCTTACTTCTTAAGGTAAACGCTGTCAGTGGCATCTTTGAAACCTCACCTTCCCTTCTTCGATTGAAAATAATGACCTCACAAAGAGTCAAAACTGCCAGTTTAGACCAATGCTTAGACGTTGGCTCACTTATTAGGGTTTGCACATATTCAGGTCGACATACCTCAATATGTGCATGCATGGCTCTAACGTCCTCAGTCAGAGGGAGCAGGTCCGGAGTGTTCCACTTGGCTTGCCGGAGGGTCTGTAGGGCAGCAGAAGAAACACAGACGTCCCACCTCTTCTCAAAAAGCAGCCGGCTTCGTTGGAGGTTTTTAATAAATAGTTCATCAACACAGCTTTTTTGAATTTTTGCTTTCTGAGGCTATGGCCGAGTTTGAGGGCCAAGGATGGAGTCTTGTATTGATTTGTTTTTCCGTTATATCCAGCATTTTAACCCTGAAAAAGCAAGTTTGAATATTTTTATCTTTACTTTTCAGTCACTAAAAATTCAGTTTACAAATTTAAATGTGATTGAAATTTCAAAATGACATATTCACCCTCAAAATATTCAATATATATTTTTTTTCAATGTAAAAAAACAGACGGATTATTTGTTCCATCAGAAATTGAATTTTAAATGGACCTGAATTCATCTATTTGAATGTTTTTAACATCTTGAATATTTTTTTCTGTGAATTTCAGTTACTGATTATCAATTTCATAATGTCAAATTCAACAGTCAAAATTCAACGAGAAAGAATTCAATGGTGAAAAATGTACATGACACATCCGGTGTTCTGACGAGTTATGTGCTCTGTCAGTTGGTCTGCGCATGCGTCATTTTACTGAGGTAAAGGCTGGCGCTAGCTTTCAGCAGGTCCTTCGGTTGATAACATGAATCTAACAGGTTGATATGGGATTTCTAATGAATGGATTGTAATGAAACCAAGGCAAATAACAAAATGATACTACATTAATTTGATGAGTTAGTCTTTTTGGGTAAATGTGCTCGTTTCAAATCATTATAGCTGTATATTCCTGTTTATTTATTTAGGCTGTGTGTGTTTGTTTGTGTTCATGAAAACCATCACATTTGAACATTTATATAGCAACAGAGGACAGTGTTATTGTTGGTTACGTTACACAGTATTTGGGTCTAGTTTCCCGTGTAGCAGTTTCCACAGGGCTCACTCGTGTTACTTGAAAAAGAGCTCCATGTAAAGGAATTAACAAAAAACATTTATTCCACAGCTCGAACTCTTGTACACTAAATGATATTTGCTGAGTTGTCTCTGAAATAAAGTAACAACGGTAAGAACACCGTATGGCTGCTTATTTCTTGAGCTGTGAAAAGTTACGTGCTCTTTCGGCTCCACTCGCTCCGTAAACAAAGAAAAACCTCTCTCTCTCTTAAAGTGACGGTAACGTAAATATTCTAAGTTAACAAAATCTCCATTAGTTCTAAAGGGTCTAATGTAGATAACGAGAGATTCCAACGTCAGTGAAGAGAAAACAGAGTTCATTATGCGCAGACCAACTGACAGA